GGAAGTTAACCTCTTTTGATGGAAATACACACTGAACAGTGAAATAAAAGTGTCTGCCATTCTATATATTGCCTGTAGTGGAATTTTCTGTTTGTTTTTGTTGTAATATTTTTGCTCATTTTTTGTTTTTTTTTCATGTGCTACTTGCTACACGCTTCAACAATATTTATTTCGTGAGGAAAAAAAACAATTGTGCCGGGTTAGTCTCGAACCCGGGAAACTGGTGTCAAGGATGGACGTAATAACCACTACGCCACCCCGATACCATATGATGTTATGCCACAACTTTAGGTATAAAGGAGTAAATTACCGGAAGTCAACTGCTTAGCAAAAAAAAATGTTTTTGATTTCAAATAGACTTGGGAAACTAAGAAAGTAAATGGGCTATATTGCCCATGTCGTCTGGACCTCATTGGTGAAAACCGCGCAGAAAACGGCCCATTGGGGAATTTCTTATGAATTTTTTGTAGTGACCAGTTGTAAAGGAAAGTTCAGTACATAGTACATGACGTCCCTTTTCTCAAGACCTTCAAACTGTGAGTACACGCTTTTTGAGCTCCACCATTTTTGCTGTTTGGCACCCTTAGAACACCGGGCAGAAGCAATCCAACTATGGCAAGAGGTGTCTAACGTGCTCGGGCACCTTTCTTGAACATTTTCTTCCCATAAAAAACGGTTGCTTCTGCGCAGGCTTTGGTCAAAGTTTAAGGGTGCTATCTTCACCAATATGTTGTTGAAGGACCTCGTTATTAGAACTGGAGGACCTTTTATTGGTGTTTTGATGTTATATCATGCTTGTTCATGTTGTAAGGAACCGTTTGGTGTTGATTTTTTGGAAAGCGGTTCCTTTGTTGATTAGTTATCACGTCATTTCTGTCGAAAGTTTACACCTTAATAACTTTACGAGGTTTTAACTATTTGGCCAGCAAATTGTAGCGTCGGATAGGCCTTGACATAGGTTACGTGCATGCCAAATTTGGTAGCAAATGATAAAATCCTCGCAAAGTTATTAGCGGTTAAAGTTTTATACAAAATGGCGGACACAAGTTTGTTGGTACCATGCCCTCAGCGGTTTTAACGCGAAAATGAGGGGAAACTTTAACTGCTAATAATTCAAAGAGGATTGAACCGTTTGACTTGCAATTTGAAGCAAAATAGAATGCAACAAGGGTTATCCGTTGTGTGGGTCAAGTGAGTGCCAGGCTTCACTCTAATGTCTGTAAGTATACCAGACTTTTACTGCTTAGAACTTTAAGATAATATTGAGGCAGGCTTCAAGAGTACTACCCAGAGACTGAGCATGTTTGTGGGGCACTCCCCGGGGGTTGGCTACCCCAACTCGCATCTGATCCCTGACAAACTGCTCAGTCCCCGGAGGGTATCATCGGGTCACCAGCCTGACTCATTGTTGCCAGGAAATATTTACAATATTTACAGTTTTATGTACAGTTAAAATATTTACAATTCTATATACAATACTATTTACAATAAATAAAAATGCTTTAGTTCGCCGTATGATACAATTCTATTTACAATGATATTTTAAAAATGCTCAGCTTGGCTGAACTATATTCCTAATTTGAACTTTTTTGGATTTTAGCTTTTTTCTGGTGAAACTCAACGGTGGTGACGATGGGAGTCGGATTGTCATCTCCTTCATCCTCAAAGAGGCAAACTTTAACCGGAGATGCCCAACCCACCAAAGCTCCAAGTTTTTCTTGAAACCCTTATCACAATACAACGTGGATGACCATGTGGACTACAATGTTCTTACACTTTTCGTTGTTTGAAGAGTGTTTTCACTTTCTCATAACATCAGTCTATTGTTTCTTTCCGCGATGTCAATGAGTTCTTCCACACTTTCAAACAGTTTGTAAATTTCCTTCTTCGACGGACATTTGTCATACGTTTTGAAGGCTTCTGCAATCACTTCTGTGTCTGGTTTACTCCAGGTGAAGTGTCGTGAGGGTCCACTGAAAGCAGAACTCAGACTTTACCCAGTTGCTTGAAAACTGGTCATTCTCATCGTTGATCTGGTCTAATCCGTTTTCAAAGTTCTTCTTCTGGAGGTATTTGACACGTTTGTAGACCCTCTTGACTAAACTTTGGTTGTGCAGTTCAGTCACTAAGTTGATGCTTTCCGACATGGTGTTACGTACCTCTAACATGGTCAGGAGCATTGGTAGATATTTTCTCTGCAAATAATATGTCGATGTCATTCAGCTGGTCCTCTGTAAACCCATGTTTGGATGGCGATTGGAATTCAGATGGTTCCTCTTGGGATTGGGAATCCTCTTCGAAGACCGTTGGTGCTGTGTCTTTGAGTCCCAACTTCTTTGCAAGAGCGGTGTGACCTTTTACTGCCTGTCTTGTTTTGTTTAGGATCTGGTAGTGATCCTCAGCAGTTGTCCTCCGGTGTGTCATCAAGGTCTGAACAGCAATTTGAGTCTGAAGGTCTTCATCCATTGTTTCACTTGATCCTACTTTTTGTAGTTGGGTACTTGTGATGTTCCGGCCTGTGGCCCGTTTCCACCATGTGCTAATTCTTCTCCCGATTGTGCCAGAAGGAAAGGCGTTGCCCTCGCGTGTTACAAACAATGCCTCTTCCTCTTCGGTAGCAAAGTGAGGCCTGACTTGCCGGACATAGGCTTTTAAGTTGGTATATGTGTTTTCGCTCATTGTGATGGGTGCAGGACCGGTCTTCGATGTCTTATGTCTTGCCACGTTCATCACTATCTTCCCGTCGACCTTCTTCGCTTGATTAAATTCCTCAAGGGTCACAGACTCTAATGGCCCAGGCCGCTGGCAATTTTCTATCTCTAGCCTTGCCAAGAGCAAATCTCTGATTGCTACAAACATCTTCTCAGTGGGCCAGGTATTGTAACTTTGTGTTAGATAGCGAATGGCCTCCACTGCCGGCTTAGTGTCCATCATGTCTTGAATGACACTGACAGGGACAGCGTTTGCTTCTTCCTGAATCCTCTTCTCCCACTTCAGGTGTGCATACTCTTTGTTGATCAATGAGCTCATGCTTTTGAATCTCAAGGAAACGCTCTTTGCACGGTTGACGATGTCATCTGATATCTGCGGAAATCCACTGACCTGGTGCACCACGTGGTCTGCGATGAATTCACAAAATTTTGAGAGGGACAAAAGGTAGCTCCTGACTGAGCCCAGTCGCATTTCTTTTTTGTCTAAGAGTGGCTTGGCCCATTTCTTCCAGACGTTCAATCCACCATCTTGACTCAAAGTTGGTATCTTTGCTGCCTGGATCCAAGTGATCATGGATTCTTCTCACGTGTTGTGCATGCAGGATAGCCTGTCGTTCTTTCTTACAGCTGCCAATAATGTTCTTGACATGGTCACAGAACATGATGTAATATTTCTCATGGTCTGTTTTTCCCACTGCGTGGGCATAATATTCCTTCAGGGTAGAGAATTCTTCATCACTCTCGTCGTCATCTTCCTCCTCCTCTAGATAGTCCTCGTCTGAATCTGTTTGCACTGCTGGTTCTTGCTCATTTTTGATTTGGTCATCCACTACAGGAGGAGGATTTAGAGGAGGGAGCGGAAGAGGAGGAGGAGGAGTACCGGGAGGAGGAGTCGGCGGCACTATGTCTCCGAAGTTGCTATCACTACTCTCAGACATTTCTGCTTCATCAATCAAAACCTCCAGTGGCGTTTTTCTGATCGTGGGTTCTTGATCTCGTGGTGGTGTATTCTTACCGCTTCTTTTCTTTGGGTCTACGTTCTTAGCACTCTTTTCTACCCATCAGAGTTCTTTTTTCTTACCCATGTAGTTTCTTTTATTTTTCAAAGCATCTTGGTAACCCTTCGATCCTCTTTTGAACTTATGTACTCTCTGCAGATGTGTTGAGAGGTAACAGGTAACGGAGAAGCACAGTGGACATACCACCTTTCTGCATTGGTGAAACCTCACAGTGCCATCTTTGTTTTTGTTTTGCACTTTGCCACCACACAATTCATTGCCATGCTTTGATGCCTGCAGTATGGCTTCTACGTGCTAAGTTGGATGTTGATTTCTTTCTCTGCTCCATCATCATGTTTCTTACAGTTTTCGCTGTTGTCAGTAGGAGGATTTGCATCATTTTTGGAAGTACCAGCTTGGTCTTCTTGGCTTTTGGAAAGTGGCAACAAGTTGTCCCAGACGTCCTCCACCATTCTTTGCATTGTGTCTGTGTAGTCTTCGGGATCTAAGGTTATCTCCTTCAGTCTTATATTACAGAGCTTCTTGCTTAAGACATTTAGGATGTCTATGTAATCCTTACACATTGCCGCCATGGTGTACATTACAAGGATCTCTGCAGAGGTTTGAATCACGCAGGCCCTGTAATGATTTGCCCGAAGACTCATTGCAGATAGTTTTGGTGCTCCAGGCTCTCCTATTTTTGACTCTTCCAGGCCGCCTTCCTCTATTGCATCAGGATCGCCTTGCGACGCATTGCGCAGTATTTTAATCAGATCTTCAACCATAGTTGGAAACCGACTAACTGTAGATGCTGTTCGAAGAATGCTGAAATTTAAGATTAAAAGCATGCTAATAACATAGTCTCCAAATCTCAGGTCAAAGTGTTCAATTCTGTAGGAGATATTCTCTAAAAACAAGGTAAAAGTTAACCGCCAACATTCTGCAGAAAATCGAATGGTTTGATGCAAACTTGCATTGGCAGTTAAACCAACATGCCGCACAGATAGCTCTTTTTAACTACTATAATGTCTAAATTTCAAAGCCTGGCTCCATATCGTCTTAAAGTTCTTAGCAGTTAAAGTTTCGGATACTTACAGGTATATTAGTTACGTGAAACCAACAACCCTAACAGAACAGATAAGTCTTCTTGCATCCTAGGAATCCATTTTCAATTCAAACGGTTAAATCCTCATTGAGTTATAAGCAGTTAAAGTTTTGAATACTTACAGACATCGTTTTCGCTGAGAAACAAGCCCGCAAAGGACACTAGGGTAATTCTATGGCGAAACTTTAGACGGTAATAACTCTGCAAGCATTTAATCTTTTGTTATCAAATTTTGCAGGCAGATAGCCCATGTTAAGGCCTATCAAACACACAATTGTCTGGCCAAATGGTCAAAATCTTGCAGTTATTAAGGTGTAAAGTTTCGACACAAATGACGTCATAATTAAAAAAGGAACCGGTTTCAACAAAAACAACACCAAACGGTTCCTTACAACATGAACAAGCATGATATAACATCAAAACATCAATAAAAGGTCCTCCAGTTCTAATAACGAGGTCCTTCAACGACATATTGGTCAGCAGTGCACCCTTAAACTTTGACCAAGGCCTGCGGAAAAGCGATTGTGTTTTATTGGGAAAAAATGTGCCAGGAAGTTGCTCTAGCACCTTACACACCTTTTCTGATAGTTCTTTCGCCTTTGCGCAGTGTTTCAAGGGTGCCAAATAGCAAAAATAACGGAGCAAAAAAAGCGTGTACTCACCAAGAGAAGGCTCGTGTCAAAGAGGATTTCATGTATGTGTCACCAAACATTTGTTGATTTTGAACTCATAAAAAATTTCTGTTACAAGCTAGCAATTTGAAATTTGGCATGATTATTTACCAATAACAGTGCTACGTTTTTAATGCACTCTTAACTTACTACATGCTGATTATTCATGTGAATTTGATTGACAGCTGTCAATTATACCTACTTTACCCTCTAGAAAAAAAGTCTCTTAATTTACTCTGTAAGGTAGATGTTTTGGTATGCATATGATATTTATTCTATTTAGAGAACATTAGACCTGTCTAATTGTTTAAAAAAATTATTTTGAGCCCAAAAAACAAAAAAAAACTGTGTTGATGATTTTCCTACACGTCCTTACCCTATGGTTAAAAATCGCGATTAAGTTATGAAAAATTAAAGATTTTTTGAAACACACATAATACTATCGTTATTATCTGTGTATTCGACTTATTGTTTTGTATAATAAAGTTAAAAATAGAATTGCCCTGTGCAAAACAATCCGTTGTTGATTTTGCTACATCTCCATTTTTAGACCAGATTCAATCTTTATTATTTTGTTTGGAATGAAAGGACCTCTAGAGTTACCTCGTGATGTTAATATTTAACTATCAATCCATGTTATGCCTGAAGGAAAGTGGTAAACAAGTTATTACAGACGAATTATAATGTATTTTTTGACGTCAACATTGTTGTTGATTTCCCTACCCGTCAGAGAAAATTAACCTAAAAGGCTATTAAAATGCTAGGGTAACACGGTTTTGGATAATGCATATAATCTGTTATATACTCTATAAATTAGACTAGTATTTATACATCAGAAAGTTGTTGATTTTAAATAAAAAGGCATGTTGATTTCCCTACACGTCTCCATTTTGCTAAGTTTTGTTAATTTTTCAAGTGCAATATCCTCATTGTGTTGAAATAAAATTACGCGATTTTTCAGTATGTTCTGGAAACAAAGGCTTAATTACCTGTAACAAAATTGGTGAATGAAATGAAAATAGTGAGGTGCTACAGCCTTTAAAAGTTTGAGACCACATTTTTGAAGAAAAACCTGTTTTTTGAACAGTCAAAAGTTTGCAAGGTAATAAATCTGTGACACATGGGTTTCAAAAATTGACACCTATACCAAATGTTAGTACACTACAAGACTATTAGCTGTCAAAATCTGACATGAATATTTTACAATTAAATTGCTTTAGACTTCTTTTTAAAAGTGGTCTTAAAACTCTGAACCTAATTTCATAAACTATTTCGATGATATGTCAAAAAATATTTTTCAATGTTATGCCAAACATGTGGACCATATTTCACAGGTCCTGATTCTTAATCTCAGGAGGTAGTTCGGCATCTCATAATATATTTTTGAATTTATAGCGTCTTGAAATGTAAAAGTACCCTTTTTTTGACTATTGAAATTGTATTTTTAATTGCAATAAAATGATCTGCTAGGGCTAGGGCTAGGGCTAGGGCTAGGGCTAGGTTCCTGTGTCGCTCTGCCCACTCTGTGTGTTGTCCTGCCCACTTTTATGTGTTGTCTTTCCCACTGGTTGTCTTGCCCCCATGTGTGTGTTGTCTTGCCCACTTTTTAAACTTGTGGATACGCGAAGGGTAGAAACGTGTTTCTTGCGGGGACTCTGAGATGCAAATGTGTCACTCAGTCACTCACTCAGGTGTAGACACTGTTCGAATTGGAATAGTAACCGTGCAGTCAGCGCGAGCCTTGCTATTGTGTTTGCGCGGTAAGTACTCAAAGGATGTATCGTGCCAGCCTGAATTGATGATTTTGTAGCTTTTACACAACCAGTAATGTTAGGTGTTTCGCTAAACTGAAGTGGAGTTGACTACGAATGTTCAAATTAGTACTATGGCCAACTTGAGCGCTGAATTTCATGAGCATTTGACTCATCCAGGCGTTCAAAATGACCAGGAGATGAGCATTTGTTTGCTGGAAAGTGACCTACTGATGTGGTAAGCTTTGATGAGAATGTGTATTATTCGAGGACCTTAATGAACTTATATGAGCGAAACGAAAACTTCTCAATGAACGAAACCAGGACAAAC